CTTCGATTTTCACTATAATTTTTGGACTTTTTAGCGATGTCACTTGACACTCTCAATTAAATTATATTTTCATTTTCAAACCAAGGCGCATAATATTTGAGAACATTCACCAAATAGTATTTGACTTTCCCACGTCTTTAGACTTATGTAAACTAATTACCAATTCAAATGAGATATAAGCTAGAATCATTCAATTATTCTCAGACTTTGTTATTTATTTCTATTCTGCTATAGTAGAAACTTAAAATAGTACCCAGTCCTAATTGCTTTAATTACTAATGTAGATGACGTAAATTATCATCGTTCTTGTTTATATATTCATGCATGTCTAAAGAATCTATTAACCCTTAAAACTCCGCATTAGCTCCAAAGATATTCTGTTATACTATATTAGAACTTGTTCACATGAAAACTTTAGACTCATTATTTGCATACTTACTTAAATAAATATTGAATTCATAAAATCGCCAATAAACAATTTGGCGTCCTTGTTTAAAATATTGATCTCTATTTATCTATTATGGCCCTTCAATATCGCCAATTTTTTTTCCAAGATGCTCAATTTTATTGTCGTCATAAATTCGTATATCCCTTTCAATTCATTTTATATGCTATTTGAATTTACTGCTGATACATAGCAGATAGCAACTACCGATCGTTGTTGATATCCACTATCATTGATATTAAGTTTCCATTTAATTTAATGAAATAATGTTATAAAATTGATATTATTTTCCGTTCATTAAATTCAAATAATCCTTTGCTCAAACATTCATGAAGAGTTCTATTTCCATTATTCTAGTCTCATGAAAGGTCTATTTTAATCTGATTATCATCATTAATAAATTTTCTGATGAACAAACTCAACAATAGCTGAATATTAAACCGTACTCTCGTATTTCTCAAATTAGGATCGAAATCTGAGCTATCTGTTGTAATTTATAAATTCTAGTGGGAATTTGCCATCTAGCCAATAGCATATTTTAATTAGAATTCTATCGATTGATCTTTAAGCTAATCTTTATCTTTAATATCAGCTAATTATGAAGCGAATTCTGACTTTATAACCTAGGACTATTTAGCCCGATAGCTCCCCCTGATGTATAGCATATTAGTACGTGTATTGATAAGTACATTAAGTTTCCGTTATATTTAGCAAAGTAAGATAGAGGAACCAATCGTCAATTGTTACATTTCTTGCTTGATAACAAAAGTAAAATACGAATTTATATTTAATATTTCACAGTAGGCATTAAAGTCTTTCACTACGGTAAAAGTTTGTCGTCATAACAGTTATGACAATAGTAATAATTTGAAAATAATAAAAATATTAACGAGGTGCCAATCAATTAATAATTAAATGGTGTTTCAAGGTAAGGAAGTAATTCTAATTGTAATGAAACATTCAATATTCTGTATTAGCTCCAATCGTTTGTTTCCATTTTTGTAATAGCACCGATGATTGGAATATGTTTTGAGCTTGTTCTTTATAGTTTTAAAAGCAATTTAATGCAACAGAAATGGTTTCGTCCTTACGTACAAATTTATCTTAAACTGATTCATTCTGAACTTAAATGATTTTGTTATCATTTCTATTCATCAACTCTAATAAAGCGTAGATAAGAACGGTATAATAATATTAGTTTAAATAGAGCTACGTCTACCTCACATCCGAGACGATTACAGGCAATTACTGCTAGTTAAGAAATTGTTTTCATGTGCGTTAATGATTTCCAAATAAAAGCTTGCTATCGCTATCAAAAGCTACAACTAGTTTAATCAAGCAATTTTAACACTATTTTTATAGATGGCCGATAGCTAAGTATGATTGTACTACATTTATTGTACTGCACTGTTGAATACATTTTTTACCTAGTTTAATAATGAAAATTTGATTATTCAGCTGTATGGTTTAAGACACTAATATAATAATACAAAGTGAAATATTAATATGCTTCAAAAATAGACTATGGTATAATAATAGTTAACAATCAATCCTTTCTGATCTGTTCAACTACGTAAGTTTTTAAGTTTGTCAGCTAATTGTGTGGTATTGACAAGTTAGTACTTATTAAATAACCTAAAGTAGAATTAATACATTGAGTTTGGTTATTCGAGCGAGCATTCAAGTTGCAAGAGCTGCTTACTGATGTGTGTATCAAGGGGTATTATGGTTTAGCCATAATAACGATAATTGTCGCAACTGCTAGACTAGCATCGCTAGATAATATTGTTCTTAAGGATTAATATCCTTAACTATGCATAGTTGTTACCGTTATCTTGTATTGCTGCACCGGTAAATGATAAATTAATGTTGTACGGTACAAGTATGTTTATTAGTTAATTGTGTTATACTGAAAAATGATATCTCAAGAATGTTATCGCAATGTTAGAGAAGTTATGCATATTCATGCCAATGTTAGAGTATATAAATGAGGCGCCTTTACTATCAAAGGGGTTCGAGTGTGAGTTAGTAAGTTGGTTAGTTGTAGTTAATAAAGGTCGATTTCAACCACCGATAGAAAAGAAAGGAAATTTATAGGTTGTTGTTGGCTCAGCAGAAATTCCGCACGCTTCCGTAAATTCGTAAAGATCAAACTGAGTCACAACAATAATATCAAGGAAATTAATAAATGTTAGTTGACTGTAATAACAGAATTACCATCACTAATTTATCAAGGGAATCCAAGGCAATATTATTTTTATTAACTATCTTAATTTGAAAATACTAACAGGGAACTTATCAACAGTTCTCAATATATTTCTATTTATTAAAGGCGCTTTTTTAATATCATTTTAGGTTGTGAGTCTGATCATCCAAAATTGTGTAATCAATTAAGGTAGATGAATTTGAGAGATGATCAACATTTAACTATTATAGCAACCAGTTATGATTAAGCTTTTCATATACATATAATGCGGATTATCGCTATTCCTGGATGAGTAATATCGATATAAGTTAATCAAATATGCTCAATTTTTCGTGCTTACTAATAATTATAATTTGGAAATCTTTCAAAGGCTAAAAATCCTTTTCAGTATTTTTAAAAGCAATAAGCAAGTCATTTATTCAATAATAAGGCGATATGGTAATAAGTATTTCTTAATTCATTTACATTTTCGTAGATATGTTGCACAATTTTCAGGTACATGCGAGTATTTAAACAACTATTTGGAAATATACATTAATTATTGTTGAATAGAATATCCCAACTTAAAACTAGACGGACTATAATTAATTATGTATTTATTAATACAGCTAAATTGGCATCTGTACTTTATTTTCGTTCTTGAGATAGAAGATAATAAATTTACCGGATTACATTTGGAAGACAGAAATCGATGTTGCAATTGCATTTGCTAGATCAACGATAATTGTATTATGTATTTGTTACAATTAATTAACATCTTACTTTTCTCGCAATAGAAATATAATCGAATGAATAATATCTAATTACTTTCATACTGAACCTTACATGGATAGTTATAATAGCGAATGAAATCGTCATAAAACAGTAATCAGACATTCCACTAGTTATCGCCAAATCTACATAATAGCGGCAAGTATCCCTTGGATTAATAACATGCGCAACCCAGCAAATAATAATACTGACAGCAAAATATAATCATAAATCACAAAAGTTCTAATTTTATCTCATACTTTACTGGGCACAGTATTAAACGTTATACGGGTAGCTTATAGTATTAAAAATTTTTCAACTTTGAAATAACAAGGGACTTGGCAATAAACTTTATTGTATTATCAAATAACTTTAGAACGAAAACTAAAATAGTGCAGAGTGTTCCGTGGGTGGAAATCGGAACTAATATAACTATATTATAAATTTCAGTCAATTTCGAACAATTTTATTAGCTTTAATAAAGCTATAAAATTGTAAACAGTTTTTTTGGTTTTGTATCATAAACTCCATATCACCTAAAACTCCTTCCATGATTATATTGTACACTGTACAGTACCAACTTATAGATTCTTCATTAGGATACAAATGCTGACAGAATCCCTTAACTTTCGGTGATTACAAATCCGATTAAATGAATTTATAGCACAATAGTCAAAACATTATATGATTTGCTGATGGATACAGGTAGAACTACTGATACAATATATCTATCAATAAATACGGCATTACAGAAGTCCGGTAAAGTAAAAAAATTAGATAGATAATATTTATGCTGAGAATAGGTGGAGTTGTATCGTAATAACCAAAATTACTGTAAGGTACAATCTGATGCATCATGACCCGATACTCAATTTACAGTATTCAAATTTTGCAGTTTATACATACATTTATACAAATTAGAGAATCATTCGTGAAGTGCGTTTATAAAATCACACCATGCGTCGGGAATAGGCAAAAATTTAATTTCTGAACCAGATGTCTGCGCATTTATGTTATTATCTCGAATTCAGTACCAGTCGCTGCCGATCAATAAAGTACAACTATCAGAGTACAATAATTTCGCTATGATCAAGCAACACCAAACCACTTTAGGAGTTTGATCATATTCTCAGGTAGACATGTCTATACACTAATATTATTACGTTCATATTGAATGTTGTATCAGGTGGTGCCAACCAATGTCATATAGCCAGCAACTTCCAAAGTTTTCGAATGTTCAAGCAACAACCCCTACTTCAGAACTTGATCCTTTGAAGTTTTTACATTATGGTATTTAAATGAAATTCCGGATTTTCAAAAACTAGTTCCCTCTTACGTAGACTAACAGCAAAGTCATTCGGCTTGCATAGATGTTAAGGCAAATAATTTACATGATTCATTTAATTAAAAGCAAGGCCGAAAGCTACGCGATATCAAGATTAATAGAAAAAAAATAGGATATTTGTGTAGTAACTTAAATCCACCAGTCCCAATGTTGATAGGAACACCCATGATGATGCATTCACTCACACCTTCAAAATTTATAGAATTTTCAGAAATGTCAGTTTTATAATTCAATTTCTCAGACAAATTGAAGATCTATTGAAATGACAACAATTTCAAGTGTTGGGTACCAATAATCGGATCTTCTTGGCCACAAATAGCTGCATCGAATAAATGATCCGTGGTGTTTTCAAACTAAGAATTAATTTCGAAATCAGTGCAGGTCATATACAAATAAGTAAAATTCAAAATGTACAAAAACAATCTTACAGAAGCCAACATTAAAACGCTCTCTTTCATCTTTGCTAAACCAAACCGAGTTATTCCGAGAACTTCACCCTAATGTCGATTCACAATTATAATCAGACATAAAAAGCTAAGTTAAAGCAATCGTGAAAAAACACCATTACCCAATTATTACTATACCTTAAACGTCATTAAATCAGCTAATAACATCACATGTCGGTTATCAAGATGCATTCCGTGGTTTACCATCGTAAACAGAATCTCATTGATAATTGTAGCCCTATAAAGCAAATACAGAAAACGTACCGTACAACTTGCATAAAAACAATTAAAAATTATCTATGAACAAACTGTAGTACTGTATATGGAAATTTACTAAAAATGAAATTAAAACTAACAAGTAAATAAATTGCTGTACCTTGCCGCTTCAATCCCTAGTACCTTTTCTACAACAGTAGTGTGGTTGGAATTTGTACCTATACCCTTAACTCCTGAATAATACGGATATGCGTTACATTTTAACTAAGTTTTATCTCTCCGCGCAAAAAAATTGCTGTAGAATAAATAGTAACTGTAATCATTGCTAAAAGAGCAAATCCAAAACTAATTACCACGTGTAGTTATAACACTAAGCAAATCTTCCCCTTCGACGTAAAGCTTGAATTTTTTATTCCCTGACGCATCCTCATCAACGTGGATAACCGTTCGCGTAACTGTTGGAATGCCCTGCAATACAAATCAGAGTTAATGGAATGCACATACTTTGCATAGTTCGTTTTACCTATTTTATATATAGTTACTATGAATCTGTCTAGAATTACCTTAACAATAACATTCGGAATAGAGGCTTTCAAGATTTGCAAACCATGAAAGATGGATACTTTAAGGCTTTCCGATGGATATACTAAAATTATATCAGGATCTTCGATAACGACATCGTGTGGCTTCAATTTCAGTTTCGGAAAATTACATATTGAAGCTCGAATAGTTTCCTTTGTAATTTCAAGCTGTATTCATACCAGTAATTAAAACTCGTCAACAATATTCATTACCAAGTCCAATAATACTTTGAATCAAACTTACTTTTAACAGCTTTATTCTTTCCATATCTATCTTTAATTTTAAATAACAATCGGTTGGACTAACGACTTCTTCGATATATTCACACACCTACGAAAAATATTACAGTTTACTACCCTACGCTTGGACAGTACTTCCTCAGTTTCAATTGTTACCTCTCCTAATGTTGTTTTCTCTATTCGACCTTTCACCATACGAGCCATATCTTCATTATCATCGTTTTCTAGTGCCGCTGTAACAATAGGTGTACTGATAGACTTTGAAGCATTTATAATTTCTTTAATTCTCGGAACGCCAAGGGTTATATGTATGGAAAGTTATGGAATATAATTTAAATGCGTTGTATATAGACTACTACATGACTTTCCTCAATCTATTCACCTCAAATTTTATACTATTACAGAATATATTTGAAAAAATATCAAAGGATATTCATGGCAGCAACACCAGCAAAGTGAAATGTTTTCAAAGTCATTTGCGTTCCAGGTTCGCCTATGCTTTGTGCGGCAATCGCGCCAACAGCGGTCCCTTATACACGACAAAATTATTAATAATATATATAATGCGTTATTGACTATGTTACAACGGCTCATTATTAATTATGAAGTCTCTTACCGGGTTCAATTTTAGCTCTCACATATTTGTTACCACAAGACTGTATAAATTGCTTTAATTGGATTTCAGTTATATGATGATCTAGAATCGGTGTATGAGGCCCATATCTATGATATTCGAATCAAGCAAACATAAATAATATGAAACAAAAATAGAATTATAATTGCAATAACGTACTTTCGATTTTGAGGTTGTTTTGATGCTATACGATTAATATAGTTCCTAAGAAAGTATGATACAGCCTAGGTCAAGACAAGGTTAAGGAAACGAAACATTTTAAATATCCGTGATGTATATATTTACATTAGTTCTGCCTGAAATTCAGGAGAAGTCATTGCATTGAAGTCATTGGTCATTACGAGATCTTCGGCAAGCGCTTTAATTTCGTTTTCGTTCATATATTTTTCATTCTTTGATGTCTTTAGGCTTGTAGACTAGAAACGTATTTCTTTTCTTAAATGACCCAAACAATGCATACAACAATATCTAAATAGAAATATAGGTACGCAACTTACCTTTATATGATAAAGTAAATGATTATAATCTATAGGCTGATCTTTGCTTTCCATTAAACTCGGATCGAGACCATCATGCCCATACTTAAACTGTACAATTCCACCCACCGAGTTACGCACTGTGGTATCATATCGGATAGCTAAGTCTTCCAGTGACTGCAAAAGAATATTAAATTTATCGCTGATTAATTCACTATCACTTACAAGCTTATTTCAGATTGATTTTATTTTGGTACCTTTATTAGTCGTCTCTGTAAATATCCTGTTTCTGCCGTTTTGACAGCCGTATCCACTAAACCTTCACGTCCAGCCATAGTATGAAAAAAAAATTCAGTAGGCTCTAGTCCGGAATAAAAACTATTTTCAACGAAGCCTTTTGCAGCTGGAACTTTGGCTAATAGAGAAAGAATTATACCAGTCAGGATGAACATAAAAACAATACTTTAGGCAATATCGCGATAACAATTATGGAACGACCTACAAAGATTTGATTTGACTTACAATCTCTATCAAAGTAAGGTAGAGCACGATTCTCAAATCCGTTCGGGATTCTGCGTCCACTAACGGCTTGTTGGCCGACACAACTTATCATCTGTGATATATTGATGTTTGAACCTGAAATAATCAGAGTAACCCAATCTATTACAATCACCCAGTAAGTCGAAATCAAGAAACGACAGGTATCGCTCAACTCTTACCCTTCGAACCACACAGAGCCATAGTTAAAGGAGCATTTGAAGGATGTAATTCTTTCAAGCATATCTTACCTGCATCTTCTCTAATAACCGATAGTTCTCTTAAAATAACTGCCTAAAATAAATGCATACGATGCCAGTTATTGCCTATCAGACATTGATAATTGTAAATATTCCTTAATTCTCAAACTACTTCTAGAGTTTCGTCTGCTGTAAATCCAGGTTGATTATGGAGTCTACCATCTTTAAAATCTTGAATATGCTGATCACATTTATCATACCTGTGAATTCATTAATTAGTGGGTTACTATTAATAAATATCACACAAATATTTGCGAAAATTCTTGATCCAAATAAAGTAGATTTATTTACCCATTCTTTACTAGCTCTCTTTTACCATTAATAACATTAATTTCTGGCGTTACATCACTAATTCCGATAGAAAATCCGCGATTACCTAAAAAAATAGAAGATTAGCCAAGAAAATTTAATACAATTAGTACATTTCAATCATTTTAATACAGAATATTACTTAAAAACACTGGACATAATCTGGCAAGTCGGTGCATTCTATCTGCGGCTAGCTCTTCCCCAAAATTTCGTAATAAAATATAAAAAATATTACTTCGAGAGCCGGAGCCCAAAGTACTCTTATCAAGCACTCCGCAAATGTGTTCACCATTATGAAATACTACATCTAATAACACACAGAAAGCAAATACCACGTCAAGCTAGTTTTCATCAACGAACAGAATTGACAGATGAGAAGTTATGTCAGCCTTGATATATATGATATGCACTATATTCAAGTTAGTCTTACAGGCATCATTATAACACATGTCTTCACCAGTGGTATATTGCTTCCCCTTTGCACGTAGATTGATTTTTATAGGCTGCTTTCTTACCGGTGATAGTAAAGCACTAATAACCTGTTTACCAGTCCACAATTGAACGGGCTGCATAATTTTACATTCGAATATATATATATGAAGAAACATCAATTCAGTAAATTTGTAATACAACATACACAGTAGTTTGAAAAAAGCGTAAGTATTATGCCTATGAATCAAGATTTTACCTTGATGATAGATGGGACCGGTAAATCTATCTCAGTACTTGCAGTACGAGAATCTAGCATACTGGAGCAAAATTGGGATACCTTTGCTCGGTCAAGGAATACATCCTTTTGGGTAAGTAGGTAAGCACCTATAAAATAATTGTATAAATTAACAAGCTGCAACTTTGCTTCGTAGTTTATTAATCCTAGAAATAATTAACGAAGTCTATCAGTTCAGGTAAAAATGTCTGAGACCTGTTATAAAATCTTGAATAGCGGCTATTAGAGGCTCTCCGCTTCTAGGAGTAACCATGTTCGATTTACTCTGACAATAAAATAAAAGATAAAAAGTGATTATTGTGTCCAAACTTCTTACTTTATCCATGAATTTACTTTAATACCTGCATAAGTACGAGTGCTTCAGCCCTCGCTTCTTCTGTTTGAGGTAAATGGATATTCATCTCATCGCCATCAAAATCCGCATTAAATGGTGTACAGACGCATTCGTTGAATCGAAATGTGCGATTAGGCATAATTTTAGCCTATAAAAATTATGAATATTTAATTGTAACTATTTCATTACGCATATTAGGAAACATAAAATTAAAATAGAACAATTAAATATATCTCAGTATTCAAGGCTATTTTCATACTCTGAATGACATTATGCTCATTTTATGCAACGAAGGCTGCCTGTTAAAGAGTACAATATCACCATCTTGCAAATGCCGCTCCACAATATCGCCGTACTAGAAGTGGAAGAAGATATGACTACGACTTAAATACTACGTATAAGTTTATGCTATTTAAACTAAATTTTGATAATAAACCTTCAAATCTTTTGCAATTTTTCCACGATTTCCGTACTTCAAATACCTACAACAGCGAATCGATCTACGATGAGGCCACTAACTGATACATTAAGACATTCCTCGCATACACATCTATACCATATATATAAAGTTTATTCTACATGATAAATTCTAATAGTTGATTATATGTATACGCACTTTCTTAGCTTCGTTTTTTCTTCCATGACAAAATTAGCTCCTGGATGCTTATCAGCTCCATTTAAAATTAATTTCTTTAGAAATCTTATGTTAGCTCGACAAACCTATACAGAATCGAATATGATTATTATGTTAGCACCTTAAATTACCGTTATAGTCGTTCTCGTAAGCATACAGATGATTCCTACGAAGTGGTTATAATGTTATTACCTTTTGCGGATATGTTAAAGTCATTGCCACCGGATAAGGTATAGCGACCTAAGCATAACAAATAAATATTAACTAGGTACAATAGTGAAAATGGATCTCATAAGATTAAACCATGAGAGCTCGCTTTCATTAACCCATAATGTACCTCGTCTATACGCAAATTAGGATCAGGTGAAATAACCGTACGTGTTGAATAATCAACCCTTTTACCAGATAAATTTCCGCGAAAGCGCCCAGATTTACCTTTCAGGCGTTGGCAAAAACCTCTAATCGGTCGATTGGGCTTATAAAAGTATTATTTCGAATTATTAGAGTGACAAGGTACTGAATTGATGCAGTTACAGAACTGGTAGTAAGTAAAATGTATTTTTGCGCAGGCTACAGGTTTAAATTGTAATTTACCTGAGATCCGTAAGGTAAACCACTAGTTTCACTATTTATGTAAAGGGAAACGTGTATTTGTAAGTTATCCCATAGTTCCTAGTACGATGAAATTTTGCCAGTTAGATGGTTGTACCAGTTACAGCATAAATATGTTGCATCTGCTATACAAAAATCTTCAATCAAGTAAATTACAGTACCATTAAAATCTGAATTTTAGCTCCATTTTGACGAGAGCGGTTAATATAATCACTTATAAGTATAATTTCAGTCAATTTCATTGTCAAATCATCCTCATTACTAAAATGTAAGCAATATCAGGTGATTAAAATCAAGGATTTATAAATATTACTAAGGTTTCTCGTCAAGATCAATTAACCTTCCCATTTGTGAATCGGTCATAACAGATGGCCTGATACATAATGGTGGAACCAGTAATCGCTCTATAATGAGATCTTCAGGCCTTCCATTGTTAGGTTTCATACCAACAAGTAAGCAGTCCTATAAATAATTAAGAAAGGATATTTCAATCCATATATTCATTCACAAGCTTTTATTCTATTACTAGAATTTTAAAAAGAGCACAATAGCAATTAAGACAAAATGTTAAAATTCTTTGTACATACATACCTCATCGCTCATACCACTAAATAATTTCAGTACTAATAACGGATTTAATATTTCCTAGAACAATCGTTGATTGTTTCAGCACTTGATTAGTTTTACATACAGGCTGACTTATCCCTTTAATCAAATACGCATCATTGATTTACACAATTACGATACGCTTAATAACACTATTTCAATACTTGTGACTTGCTAGCGACGAAATTTTCAAGATCTTTATTGCTTTCTACGGCATCTTGCAATAAATCCTGAGTTTGGCTAATTGCAATGCTAGATAATTTTTTGTTCAGCCTGTGCTTTTCGTGAATTATTTTAAATGAACCAGCTTTCTTTACAATGCCTGTGAAGGATTACAGTTATCCTTAACAACGATTTCAAGTCAACATTATTTACCAGTAATAAGGAAATAATGGACGTTTTTTGCAAGTTTTTAAGTACTAACCATTTATAGCACCACAGCTAGGGCATACAGCCATTTTACGACATTTTTCGTGTACTTTCTTTTGTAAAGCTTTACGAGATTGCAATCCAAGGCGAGTGCGTGTGGCTATTTGCAAATTTTGATCGTAATCTGCAGGCGATAATAAAACTCTGCTGCATTTCTAAATAAAGAAGGCATTAAGTATAATATAGTAGCTGCTTATGAAATATAGAATAGGCAATTCAATTCCAAGATTTTCCAGCCAGTATCATACTGTCAGGAATATAATAGTATTGCTACTGTACTATTGAAGTTAGTACTGTATTTCCTCTCCTGCTCATTAAGTTACCTTGCATATACATTGTAAAATGGTTATAGTAGCTTTGTAGAAACCACAATGGAAGACAGGGAGGGCTAAATCAAGATATCCATAATGTCCAACACAATCGGCCAATCCTTTCCTACATGTTTCACACGATTTATTTTTAGAGCTGGTACCCTATTACAAAGGAAGCCATATAAAATAAGTATGCTTATACTACAAGAATTGTTTTCGGTCATTGCATAGAATTGCGCCAGATCTCTTGATGACAACACGTAGACAGCAGTTGGTAAGAGATTTGTGATAGCACATGTTGACAATGATATTACGTGTCTACTGTACCATTTCAAGACATGATGGACTAAACTGGGAGTAGTTCCATATTAGATTACTATATGACTGCTTAAAATTGGAGTATCGCTAATTGCGTTATCTTCAGCTGATACTCAATTGAATAAGACATGTTGGATTTACCATACGACGATCTAGTACGCCATAGGACACTGGGCTTCGTTGCGTATCTTCTCCATACAAATTTTTACTGACAACACGAATATGTGCCTGCCTTTGGACATCATTAGAAGAAAATAATCCAAAGGTAACATGGCTTCTGTTGGAATAGTAGAATTTGCATTTAATAATAGCAAGTCAAGATGACTGTTACAACATATCTATCTACGACCATTTAAATGAACGCGTATAGTAACATTCAAATCAGTTCTACGCGTATTCTTAGCACAGTAAATTTAAATGGTAGACGTATCAAGGACGATCGCGATATCGATATGGGTCTATGACATTATGACCATTACAGAGTTACTATCCACTTTTTATCTCTCATCTTAATGAATGCGTTAAGAATTTGACAACACGAGTAGAATACTGACTACTTGCATTGATCTTAGCCAAAAGTTTCAATTTCAATGGTGACTATACTGTATCATTGTCCATGTAAATCCTGATGTTACAGCAAACATCTTGCATGCAAATACACAACACTGTAGTCACAGATTGTTTTATTCAGTGTTGATATATTTCAAGATTTTCCTGTGGCATTCAAATTAGTTGTATTTAGAAAAAGAGGCTACAATTTTTCCTTGGACTTGCTATAGGGTAAAGCTCTGTCGATGATAGTACTGCAGCATTATTACCGGTAATAATATTATTATTCTTACTATACCATGTGTACACGTATACTGTCTATATATACCACTGGTCGACACCTGGCATTCTTAAACTTATCATCCAAATGGCTATTCTGTATACTGTCAGAGCTAGCTAGAGAGAAGAACTCACAATTTCTTTGCAACATCAAGATCTTTAAACTGTTCCTTGACCATTTTTCTTAGCTCATAGCGTTTGCAGCTATACCTGCCCACTGAATATGGTATGTATGATTGATATGGACTGAATCTCTTGAAAGAGTACGGTGAATAAATACTAATAATACCGTACACTTTCCAGGTTGATGCTAAAATGAGGTGACACCGAGTGAAATGAAGCTATTTTTCTACTGGTGGGTGATTCATACTCTACAGTGTACAGTGCACGTTACTATACAGTACTGTACACTGTACACTGTACAGTATACTACAGTACAATGCAAGCCATTGAGCTCGCTATCGGTACAAGCCAGACCTGACTACAAGCCATAAAGTTATGAAAAAAACATACAGTACAGTATAGTACTGTAGTGCGCTTTATTAAAAAGGGTTGACACTACGGTACAGTTCATGCATACTCACTCAGGTCTAGACTACAGTACTACCAGTCGATGGTACGCTACACTGTACCGGGTATAATCGTACAGGTACCGGTGTCACGAAATTGTACGTCCGTCATGCTGTACTGTACTTCTGCAGTAAGTTCTGCTTCTACTGTACAGTGTACAGTACTATACTGTACAATGTACAGTACTGTATATTACACTGTACAGTACTGTACAATACAGTATATAGTATTATATTACATATCACTGTACAGGGTTGTACTGTATGTGGAATTAGGAGAAATGACGTTATAATTGAGTTCGTTATTAAGAAAGATTTTACTCGATAGAAATCACAAAATACTGCAGTCAGAAGCAGAAGAAATACAGAAAACATTCGGAGTAGAGAGAGGAAAGAAAAAACCTTTTCTTTTACCTCTATGATAGTATATAGAGTGTAGTGCGGACACTATTTTGGAAAGCGCATTGTAAGGATCTCACATGTTGCTAACGGACAACTGCAAACTTTTCCTTCACGAGACCAGGGACTACGGTACTGTACACTGTACACTGTACACTGTACCGTACAGTACTGTATGCTAAAATAACCGAAAAACTAGTTCACTAGTATACTGTATCCTTCAAAAAAACCAAAGTCTCTAACTAGACCAAGGCTATTGCAGCATTAACTACAGTATTCTTTCTACTGGTCATCTCAATTAAATCGTACAGTATATCCTTCAGGAAACCAAAATCTCTAGCTAGACCAAGGACTACTGCAGTATTAACTACAGTATTCTACTGGTCATCTCAATTAAATCGTATATCCTTCAGGAAACCAAAATCTCTAGCTAGACCAAGGACTACTGCAGTATTAACTACAGTATTCTACTGGTCATCTCAATTAAATCGTATATCCTTCAGGAAACCAAAATCTCTAGCTAGACCAAGGACTACTGCAGTATTAACTGCAGTATTCTACTGGTCATCTCAATTAAATCGTATATCCTTCAAGAAACCAAAGTCTCTAACTAGACCAAGGACTACTGCAGCATTAACTACAGTATTCTTTCTACTGGTCATCTCAATTAAATCGTACAGTATGTCCTTCAGGAAACCAAAATCTCTAGCTAGACCAAGGACTACTGCAGTATTACCTACAGTATTCTACTGGTCATCTCAATTAAAATCGTATATCCTTCAAGAAACCAAAGTCTCTGACTGCAGTATTAACTACAGTTTCCTACTGGTCATCTCAACTAAATCGTATATCCTTCAAGAAACCAAAATCTCTAGTTAGACCAAGGACTACTGCAGTATTAAAAGGAAAGGAAGAGATAGGCAACAGCCGTTCAGCATACTAAATATGACGGACTAACTAGTTTAATGATCATCTCAATTGAATCGTTTGTCTGAAACGATGCACTATGCCGTAGCAATATTATCCACTATTGCATTGTTATCCAAATGAGCTGCTGATTGATTTTTGTACCTTGTAGTCTACGGTTTCAGTCATGGCGTATAGTAGAATGACCAGAAAAATGGCCAACGATGACGCTACTTTGCACTGGATGAGGCCCCACCTGATAGCTGCTTCTGTTCTTCGTAGTGCCTAACTAGACTAAGTATTGCACTCGCATACTACTGATCAAACTGACATAAGTGTAGAACAGTAAAGCAGCTTGCCATGCCATACTATCGCTATCAGACTGCTTTATATTGGATACGTTTAGTAGCGGGATTCAATTTAAAAAATTACGAAATTATATTGGCGAATGGAATCGATTTCTTAACTATATCAATGCTTATATCTTTTATCACAAATACGTCGTAAAGTAAAAAAGAAATTGTCGATGTTATATAACAGGAACTATAGTAGAAACTGTTCAGTGTAGTCCATTGGTAATTAAAGTAAATAAATTAGGTGATCATCCCTTTACAGTCTTCTTGTTATGATGGAATCATTATATTATTAGTAAGCAGGGCTTATCCATCGGATCTAAACGGAATGTAACCTTTAGAAATTAAAATTGTTGATTAAAAGATAAATAGATACTGTACACTATCAAGTATAAATTTCTATAACGACGTTAACATTATTATTGTTATTATTATTATCATAATTACATTTATTTTCTAGAATTGCATTAATACATATAAACAACAATGATAATAATTGGCCTTAGATTGCGCTTAATTAATGATACTTGTTGATAGTTTCGATAGTATATCCATTTCGCACGAGAAACGATCATTGGCAATAATTTGGCTGTAATTACTATTTGTAAAATGGCGGTGTAAAAGTTGAGATATTGAATTTGACAAATAATAGCTACATTTAACTAGCATTGAATTTAATATTTATAATCACTGTAGTGCAAGCAATAAATACAGTCAACCGGTATTTAATCGTTTTTACTGATACGATATAATAGTGATGTAAATAATAAATCTATTTCGCACTTAAATAAAAAAAAGCAATACACATCCTCTGTGATGTGGGTAGATGTAGTAGCTAGATCGACGATCATTCCATATGGGTTCACTATTATAATTTATTAAGTTTATCTTGAATGTTCTTACAATAGATAACATCATGTCTCCATTCAATGTATATAGTTTCAGCATCATGCGGACATTTTGTTGTCATGACGCTCAATAAATACAATACCAAATGACATAAAGTAGATTATTATTCAATAGGGCCACGCCGTTATTAGTTTAGATACATCGAAATAAAGATATACAACTTATTGTGAACACATTGTAGTACGCTATATTAATATTAAAACATAAGTAGTATTGGCGGCAATCACAACCTACAAGTAAAACAGGCTCTTTATTCCTTAGAACAACGACTTCCTAACAAGACACTCTACTCCAAATTATTCTTATCCACAAGTTCGATCTTAATTACATCTTAATTATATATCGAATTCGCAGCAATTTATAACTGGTAAACGATTAATCGTAAGAAATTATTCTACATCATCCCCACTAATGAAGACTTTAATCTATCATCTAGAATCAACTGTAATGTACAGATGATGACAGACATGTAATTACAATCAACAATCTCTAATTAAGAAAGGCATCGGTTTTCTAGTTATCTACCAGTAGGATTAAGATTATTAATTGTAACGTACTTCAGTCATAATTCAATACTGATCATAATAGTTATATTAATACACAAGATTGGCAGACAATTTTATTGTCTTACTGCTAACGGTTGATGTATTTCTCTTATGCTAGTCATTGTTTCAATGACATCTGACATTAATATAACATTAAAAACTCATTGGACGGCTCTATGTACACAAAATACGGTTTATTGTAATGCCAATGTAGTTCAAAATCATCGGCGAGAGAAAAGTAGGAGAACGCTACATTGTAGAGGCCAACACTGCATCACAAGACACTAGTCGCTATTGGGTGTCATATTTACTTTCTACCATCGTTACCACCAGCGTAAGTTTTCTACTCCACTCCTCATTCCTATTCAGTGCTAGTGCAACGATAAACTATTTCTTTCTACTATTTAACGGATGCATGCAAAGTAAGTAAACTTAACAGTCGCTACTTTTACTCATAGTCTACGAACAGTGCAATAATAACGACGGTAAAGGTTTCATATCGAGTAAAACGTGGATTTGTCATACCTATGGAAGCATCAAGTACTATGACGCCGTAGCTAAAAAATTCTTTTTTATTACTATCAGATTTTAATTTGACATTTCAACGATTAAAAGTCATCAGATTGATAGCATCATTTTTATATATTTATCCCGGAACACTGAAAGAAGTTAATTAGGTATGTTACTTAATAAATTTTGTTGTAAATAAATGCACGATAGTATAGTTGGTACGTTTTTACTGGTTTAGAGTAAATTACAGTTTTTATCAAACGCTATTTGATTGCCTATTTCATGAGAGTAGAATGGAGTAGCGTAAACTCCATCAAATTTATTTTGTAATTTATCCACCTTATGGTTTCGTAAGAATATTAACAAGGAAAGTGGATTGCTAGAGCGCAGTTAGATAAAATATTTCCGATAATGCTAGTTAACAACATTCCTGTCCTAATTAGTGATACGTACTGATTTATTTCTCAAGCTTCATCTCATCTTATGCCATTGCTAACATCATTTACGATGTAACAGATTTTTTTCTGAAATGAATTGAAATGAACGCCATGTTATACCAAAGTAACTTACGTAAATAAAACTTAAATATTTCGATATCAAGCGATAGCTTATACCTAGCATACAGACATTCACATCACAGAAACAGACAGTCGTGGTACTTGTTTACTTACTGTCGCAACATGAGGGTATGATTTACTTACAATCCAGTTTTAATCTTATTTTAGCTACGATTTTCAAGGTAAATTGTATAAATTTCGTTACATAATTTCTTATATTAATCACTTAAGAGCCAATCCCTTTTGTAATTAAGCCAGTTATTTACAGAGTTTTGATATCAAATGCAAAATTTTAGTTACTTGAAGTTATTGTATTACCTCACAATATTGTAGGTTTATCAAAAGCGAATTGCTAATTGAATTAAAGAAGAAAATGTAATTCTAACATTTTATCTTGTTGGTATATCATATAAGAATGAAACGCAAACTAAATTAATGTTTTGTCCCCTAAAGGAGGTAACATTAGTCGGCTTTGAATAACTATTTCATCTCTAAAAGAGCCTGGTTTAGTTTAAGATTGCAATTCAGAAGGATTGTGTAGTAAACTTTACTCAATAAAGTCGCTTACTTTCTTTACTAGATATTACTGTGATTACGAAGTTATTTTGATAAAATTTGATGTAATCAATGAAAATATTCCTGTGTTTAGTAATGTCATAGCATCGAAAATTAACATTTTGAACATTTATATTACCGCCATATCAACAGCTATTATCATAGCCAGAGCGAAAATTTAACTCATGTTATTCTAGCCGTAGCTAATTCAAGAATAACCTCAAAAATTGCTTTGCTTTCATTCACGCAAGTTGCTTAACGTAGTTAAATTCTCAAATTCTATTTGGAGGAATCTTTCTTGGTCATTCTTAAGCTTATACTTGCTCATAATACTGTTGCAACATATTATTTAGATATTATATCACCAATTTATTGATACTAGTTTTCATATTCTAACGTAATAGAAACCCAAAATTACTCTCTCAAGAGGGTAATTTCCCATATTTCCGAATATGCTGCATTAATAACGTTATTACAATCTAAAAATAAATTGTCATTGTGCACGAGATATATAAGTAATTAGTGATAGCATCGACAGCAGAATCTTCAATAAAGTACTAAAATTTGCGTGTATATAGGCCTGTCCTCTCTACCATTATTCAGGCCACCACAGCTATTTAGCGTCAAAGGATCTTGTAAAATTAACGAGGTTATTTTATGATTTGCTTCACATTGTATGGTTTATACAATTAAAAGTAGTGGGAGATACAGTACTAGACTCTATTTGTGGTGCACTTGGAACAGTAGACGTCATGTTTGCCATCAATTCATCCTATCAATTAACTCATGCATCACTTTGTCCACATAAAATGATAATAAGGTTGCACTTAAAATTAAAAGAGATCAATTGCTCCTTAAACCCTCTTATTCAATCGTTGCTATTCTAGCTTCACTTTAATTACTTCGCTTTCCCTTCGTTTTCAAACATTGAAACCAAATCTTATTTAGTACTGTGTTTCATTTACTCGAAGATTGCGTTATATTGATGGAGTTATACGCATATACTGTATGACGCAAATTATGGTAGACATTATTAATATTTTGTAGTATACAGTATAACAGTACACACCCATGATAAAATGAATTATTAATCGTGCTCATTAAAAATTTCCTCACTATGTTGTTGTTACTTATGGAATATTTTAGTCTAGAAGCGATCTATTACTGTATGTAATAAAAATTGATTTTGATTGATACAGCAATCACTGTTTTAGTATTAAGATTGAGACTGTTCTACAAAGCTAACCAACCATATGTAATTTTTATAACTGTATGACAATACACGTATCAATATTATTTGTCTATTAAAAGAATTCAATTGTATTAACGTTACCTCATTTCAAATAAGAATGTTGTTTACATTAACATATATTATTTTATAGTATTAATAGGTTGAATCAATTATGGAGAATGCGTCAGATTCATATCACACTGATGGCTACCTAAATACAAATGGCTCGAGTATAATTATGGCAAATGGTGAAATTTCACTAAATTGTAGTATATGTAGAAAACGCTTTAATACGCCACGTTTGTTGCCATGTTTGCACACATTTTGCCATAAATGCATCGAAGGGCTAAAATCGATGAGTTCTAACTCGATTATATGTCCATTATGCCAGAAAGAAGTGAGACTAATGAATGGTATGACTACATTTCCAATCAACTTCGTTATCAACAATTTATTGAATGTTAAAGCTTTACAAGATACAAAAAGTGGCTCATTTTTCTGTTGCGATTCGTGTGAAACCGATGATTCAGCTGCTAGATATCGTTGTGACCAATGCTTACAGTTTTTATGCGATTTTTGTGCTGAAGCCCATCGTAGAATGAGTGTTACGCGTAATCATAATATTGCTAGTATTGAACAATTACTTACACGCGTAGAATTAAGCGGTCCCGTTGCTTTACAACGTCCATACTTCTGCAAGCGTCATAAAGGCGAACCATTTCGTTATTATTGTCAAGAATGTCAAGAGCACCTTTGTCGTGAATGTATCGAACAACATCGAACACACACTACTAGTGTATTAGAGGATGCTGCAACACAAACTAAAAGGAATATTGAACAAGCACTTAAAAAGGCTCGAATTAACAGTAAGCCTGTTGTCAACTCACTTTTAACGGTGAAAAGTACCATGAAAGATGTTAATAAAAGTGTTACACAAGTTAACAATGTTATAAAGAAAACTTTCGATAGATTGATTGAATTGCTACAATTGCGTGCAAGAGAATTATTTAGTGAGGTGCAAACTATTAGATCAGCTAAAATTAAGCTTCTGCAACGTCAGCATGATGAAATTGAAACTTCGCTAGAGACTACAATTACTGGTTGTACATTAGCTGAGCATGTGTTGAAAGAAGGTAGCTCGGTGGAAATTTTAAATTTAGGACCGCATATCATTAATCGATTGGAAGAATTATCCTCCCAAAAATATGACAAATCCATTCTTCAACCACAGGAAGATTCACATATTGAATTCATGAATGAAAATGAAATCTTTCAACAAGCTCTTAATAATTTTGGCAGAATTAATAGCAATGCCAAGACATGTCCCAGTGCCTCGTCTATCGTTGAATGTCCAGCGCTACATTATTGTCCAACAGGAAAAAGAATGGCGTTAACCCTTATTACCCGAGATTCTTTCAATACGCCTCGACGGACAGGTGGTGACAACGTGCAAGGCGTTTTGAGGCGATTAGATTCGAACAACAAACGCAGTAAGTGAATTATTCTTGTTAATACCACCATTATTGATATCGTATTATTATTGAAAATGTTATTTCCAAATTAATACATAACGTAATTTTTCACGATAGGTTATAAGTAGTAGTGATGATATTATGTAATGTATTAATAATGATTTTTTATCCTATGTGTATCATCGTTTGTAGATGACAGTACTAAAGAGTCAAAAGCAGAAATAATTGATAACAGAGATGGAACCTATGCCATTGTATACAGTACATGGATTTCTGGGCCACATTTATTAAATATAACAGTCAATGGAGCACCCATTGCAGGCAGCCCATTCAAGGTAATTAATTACAGTAGCTAGAAATTGTCTACATTTTTTTTAATGAAAGAAGCCGTATTAAGGTGATTAAACATGTGTATAGTATATAGCCTTACCGTACACCTAGAGAGATAAATGCATACTTGGAGGCTATACTGATTATTTTTTACGTCACTTTTGTAATTACAAATCTATTCAGATTAAGTCAATTACAACGCGAAATTTTCAAGGAATTTCTACAGCAAAATTAAGCTTTAGTCGGCGTGGAGATGGTTGGGAGCAACTGCAACGCCCGAATGATGTTATTTGTGATCATGAAAACAATATATTTATTACTGATACTGGGAATGATAGGGTACAAATTTTTCAACCTGACGGCCAGTTAGTGCATTCTTTTGGTAGCAGTGGGAGTAATCCCGGTCAATTCGAGTCACCTTCTTGCTTAACTTTAGATATCGATGGCAATGTAATTGTATCAGATACGAACAACAATCGAGTGCAAGTCTTCACTCGAAAAGGTATCTTTATTAAGTCTTTAGGCAGTGGCGGTACCGAACCAGGAGAATTTCACGATCCTCACGGGATCACTATTGATAAAGATGGTAGAATTTTTGTTGTCGACAGTGGTAATCATCGCATCCAAGTATTTAGTTCAGACGGTGAATATCTATATCACTTTGGGGCGAAAGGTGATAACCCTGGGCAATTAGGGCTTCCCTGGGGTATTGCAATAGATCATTCCGGCAATATTTTAATTACAGACTATAAGAATCACCGAATTCAGGTTTTCGATCGAAACGGCAAGTACCGTTATTTATTTGGATCTAGAGGAAATGATACTGGCAGATTAAATAACCCGACAGGTATTACGGTAGCTCCTGGAGGTCAAATTATGGTAGCGGATCGTAGCAATCATGCGGTGCAGGTAATATGCGTATATTCTATAAGTTTCTTTACTACATGAGGTACAGAAATGAAATTTATGCGAATTATAACTATCCTGTATTATTATTGGATAGTACACATTTTACAATTTTATCATGATGATTCCACTCCTTTTTATGCAATATGATATACCGTATGGAATGAGATAATTAAGTTGTTGATAAAGCTAGTTAGCAGCGTCGGTTGATTTAAATACACATCACACTAATTAATTAAAATTATTCGATCTTGCTTAACATACTATAACAAGGTGAATTTATTTCCAATTTGTAGATATTTGCCCCAGATGGTATGCCATTACATAGATTTGGAAGTAAAGGTGGAACTGTTGGTCAGTTAAAATTTCCAGCTGGAGTTTGTGTAGATAATAGTAATAATGTTATTGTAGCCGATACATTTAATTGTAGAATACAGGTTTTTTAAACGGTAATGGAAACTTTATTACCATATGAAAGTATTTAAGCGATCTACTAATTATTATCTAAAAATATTTTGTTAGAAATATTCCGTACCACACACTATTTAAATAAGGATATCACTCTTAAAAATGTATAGGTACGATACCTTGGCAATATAGAGAGTATGTACAAGTATCACACTGCACATACGCAATTTTATTAACGTGCATTTTTGCAGCTCAAAGGGAAATAATTTGAGCATTATAACATACAAGGTACTGTTCTATCCGTACTGCATTAATATTGACCCTCATTTCATTATAATGACTACCATTAATGAAGTAACGGAGGCAGTTGGTGCCTTATATTTGCGCCTTAAAAAATAATAGATCTTTTCTTTATCTATCGCTACTGTATGTTATACTGTAATGTGACAAAATACTTCTATTTCATGCATTGTACGAAAAATTGATCATATGTATTGTATTAATGCTACAATTGGTAGGACAAATAGTTCATTAATCTATTTTGATATTTGTTACTACTTTGGGCAATGGCAGAACAGGTGCCTTACTGAATAGCATGTACATAACCAACTGCGCACATGATGCAGTAACATCATGTTATTATTTTTTTTTTCAATATTTTTCTTACTCAATAAAATTTCGTCAATTTAGAAGTGGTGAAATAGCACTAAACTGTGATCCTATGCGTTTGCTTATATTTTTCTCGTTCTACTTCAAGCTCACCAAGTTTTATTGTTTGTGGATTTAATTTAATTTAATTTAATTTAATTTAATATGACGTTCATTATGTCAAGCAAAACACCAATCCATTAATGCCAAGAAAATGTAACAACTACGTTGTTGATGGAAGTAGTGTATCTCCATAAAATCATCCTTGCTACTATACAGGCTGGTATACAGTTACCATACAGTTGTCAACTTTGACTACCATATCGTAGGTTGTACTAACGTTGCTAAGGTTCAATGTAATTAGTAATATTATTATAATAATCACCATAGGGATTCATTCATTATTTATTATTATCATGCAACAAGGATTAGCAAGATGTTGATCATAGAAAAAAAAATGATTTTTTTCTCCTTGGCCACCGTAGATGACTGAACCGATAACATACAGTACAGTATGATATACTGTACTGCATACTGTACAATTACTGTACTGTACTGTACTGTAATTACAGTAAAATAAAATAATTGATTGATTTGACCGAATCTTTACAGTTGAACTCTACAGTACAGTGTACTGTACTGTCTACAGTACTGTAATACTATGCTGTACTGTACTGTAGCGTTGAGTACAGTATACTGTACGAGTCCCTTTCGCAACGATAGTACAGAACAGTACGGTCGTGTGTAAAAACTTGGAGTAGCGTACAGTACTGTAGTACTGCAGATATTATTTTTTAGTCTACAGTAGAGTAGACTAAAAACATATTTCTACGTTGGATATTTGACTTCGTTTTAGCCAGTCCTTTTAATGAATAACTGTGACAGCAGTTGTTTACTGTACTGTATTGACACTGTACAGTGGATCGTTTATCACGCTAGACGCTAACAAGTGCTGACAACATTAACTAGGAGCACAGACGGCACACTCAAAAATAAATACGGAAAAATGCATACATTGATATATAATTATAATCACAATGATATATCGTACAATACAATCAGAGAATGAACTAGGACCACGCAGACTAGCAGTAAAAAATTACAGTTGTAAGCACCATGATAGAACGTTTCACTAGTTTTACCAACTACAGTTTACACTGCTACATTATTACAGTCAAAAGCAGCCATTCTGCATTTTCTGCGCGTTAATGCAAGTCGTTACACCATGCAGTACGTACAGTACAGTACTGTATATTTGGTGTACAATGTACTGTAGATCGGTACAGTACAGTACAGTACTGTACTGTACGCGGCAAATCATTTTAGTACTGTACAGTACTAAAATGACCATTGCTCAACTGTACTATTGTACCGTACAGGACAGTGTACTGTTTCAAATGTTTCACTCGTACAGTACTGTACAGTACTGTACAGTACTGTACAGTACTGTACAGTACTTAGGGGCCTGCGGTACATTGTACCGTAGTCGGAGACTCTAAAATAATGTAAGTACTGTAGCCATCTGACATCACCGGCTGGCGTACTTGACTGCAAACGGACCGAACTAGGAAGCAAACTGACGCAACTGACTCTATGGTACAGTACAGTATGGATGTACAGTACACGCCATGCAGACGTATCATACAGTATAGTATAAAATAGAGCAGATAAGATCATTATAATCTGACACTCTTTAGTGGCGACGCGCGTACAACTACACTGATAACTGTCACGACTGACGCAGTACTGGACTGTACTGGCTTACCTCAGCCGTTGCTATTGTTGTTATTATTAGAAGGTTATAATAAAAAAAGTTTTCATCGTATACAGTAGATAAGATTTAATCGGCCCACTCTGTTGTCACCTCATCGTTTTTGTGCATCGTTTGATGTTATCGTAGCCATCTTTATAGTTAGGATCAAGATTTAAGTTGGTAACGGTGTTTAAAATATGGCTTCAACACCTGACAAACCCATGTCCAATGAACGCGTCATGAAAAGTGAGTATTTTGCTTAGGATACATCGTTAATGGTCGTAACCAAGTTCAAAACTCCTTTTACCTTCTTTCAAGTGTAGACTGTATCAAGCTGCACTAGACAGTGCATCGACATACAGTACAGCCTCCATTTTCTCAATATGCCCACACATGTGTTGCTGTATTTTATCCATGTGATTCAAATGACATAGTCATTTTACGGTGCCAGTCACACTTACAACTGTTATCCTTCTTAATAAGTTATGGATTCCTTTTCAACTATTAGGTATACCTAGTCCACCGACCAAGATTCTCGCGTTCGATGATGTCTTTCAAGATGGTAAACCCAACATAGATATCTTGAAAGCGCACTTTATGCTAGAGGGTAGAATTGAAGAAGCAGCGGCGTTAAAGATTATAAAAGATGGAGCTATAATAATGCGTGGAGAAAGTACAATGTTAGAGATCGAAGCTCCTGTGACTGGTAATATAGCTACATATTTATATCTCTAAAAATATTTAGAGTCAATCTGTGACGGCTTTTAAAATAGATATCAGCTGAACATCGCTATTAAAAAGATTACTTAATAAATAAATCTATTCCGTCAACCCAAATTCCATCGCTTGACACCTTTACAGTACTGTAAAGGTGTGTACAGCCTAATATTAAATGCCACCGTACGGTCTGAACTTTTCCAACCTATATACAGTAGAAGGGGATTACTTTAACGTCGATTGAGTGCGATTGTGTTACCATGATATCAAATTTCTCGACAACGTTTGCAAAGGTAGGCTTTCAACTTCAAATAATTCACCAAAATCCTACTGCGTGCTAGTTTATAGTACTACAAAAGCGGATCACATAGCGATCCACAAAAGTTCAAGTATGTTCCGTACGAATGGGCTGACATAGATTGTGCGTCAAAATACGAAGATACGAATATTCTATATCAACCATAGAGGTTTAGAGGAAATCCTCGATGATAATCGACCATTCTACGGTATCTACTTTCCACTATTGAAGTGGACAGTACGGTACAGACGTAGTCTGGTATATTTTTGAGTTAACGCCTCAATTTATTTTTTGGAGAGCTCTTTTATCTTCGGTGTTACTTTTTCTTCATTTTATTAAGATATCGGCCAATTTTACGTTTTCAAAAGTTATCTTTGATTTATAGAGGGTCTACATCTGTAACATATTGACCTACCTGCCAACATAGCACTGTATATATACAGTTCATCCAGTAAAATAAATTCTGATTACTATGATTTATCTTTTGAAAAAGGGGGGATAATGGGAGGATACGCTAGCCCTCGCTTCATGTACTGTACTACTATATAAACATGTACTGTATGTCTTGCCATCGCTAATTACCAACGTTGATATCATTATTGGAGCACCTTACTTTCTTGACTGTATACACTAGTATTCTTGTTAAATGTCAAACTTGACTTCAAATTCTGCGTACGATAATTACGATTGTTACCAAAGTTGATGCCCACTTGCTCTTTCGGCAATGGCGGTGATACCAACGCTAGCCATTTTTTTCAATGATGGCCGTCGTTCAATCTGATTTTACTAGGAATACAGTATGATAGATTTGTAGTACTCGAAAAACTCAAAATGAGTTTTGGAAACAAAACGTTCAGCATGTTTAAATAACACCGTTTTAAAATTAGATGATTTTTTTATAGTGCTACAGTCAAAGTGTTGCATTGTTCATTCTCGAAAAGATACATGAACTACGTAGAGTGTACCACAAACGCGACATGTACAAGCCTCGGTGCAGCGGTACTAAAAAATTACTACATGAAGCTTGATGATTATTGTCGAGTGTAGAGGACATAAAGTAGTACGCCATACGTTATTGTAATAACGGAAATCTAGTATAATGTATATCAGTTACAATAAAATTGAATAGATCATCGTACTGCTATGTACTTGCACATTGCACATGTCAATTTTGGACGGTACTGTTATAGTTTACTTGGCCATTTCTTAATTAACTTAATGCGCTGTACGTATTTATACATATAATGCAATCTAGTCATGCTAGTATCGCTGCAAACTGTACGATAAAACAAGCAAGCGAATCTCTGTGAGTGCTTTCGTCATGCGTTACATATAACTTGTATGGAGAGCACAGAAAATTGCACAGAATGTGTCACTTTTTAGATTGCTACTGGCAAAAAATAGCGCATGCTGTTTTATATCTGCAGTAATGAAATTTGACCATCGAATGATCTTTCCTAATTAATAAGATCTCTGCAGTATCTTTTTTTTTGAAGAATATGTCAGTTACAACTCACAATGATCTTAAAGTTATATTTTACGTTAATAAATTATTACAGCCATTTTATCATTTCCATTAAGAGACTATTCGTTAAGAATGTACAGTACGGGATATAGTAAATATGTATAGTACTGTACAGCACCGTAGTTTTTTAACCACAAGTATTTATTTCGAAGTACAGTATTCTAAGCTAAAGTATCAATCTAAGCCACCATTGCTATCCCCTTCTGGATCATATTCTGACGGTCTCGTTACGCACTAATTATAATTGTATAATTACAATATGAACACGACTCTTATCCAAGCTCAAATTTAACAATAAAATCTAAAATCTGCTTTCATTTAAATTTTTATTTGAAATACTATATAGCCTAGGCTGATGTTACTGTACAGTATGTATTATTTTGGGATTTGTCTCGTATAGTATTATGGTACTCATATCAGGGTTTAATCAAAGACTGCTAAAATCTTTCTTTTAGTAGTCTCTGCTATAGTTGGTTTTCTCTACAACTCACTACTGTTGTGTCTGTACCTCCACGTTTCATGTTTTCGTTTTACTGTAATTTCACGTAAGTTGATTGTGCGATACTGTATGCGACGCGATAACATATGCAGTATTCAAAAGAACAACGACATGTTTTCTTCAGTTGACGTATGATCTTACAAATTAAAGTGTTCCACTCTGAAACCGTAGTCCCAGATTGAACATAGTCTGGTATAAAACATCACCCCGGAGAAAATGTTGAGACTTTGTATACGGTAACCCTTAAAGGTAGATATACGTACATAGGATAATCTGCAGTATACGGCAGCGGATAAAAAATACATATTCACGGTCTAAAAAATTTCAAAAGCCGTTACAGAGGTGGCTACAACATGAAAATTTCCCACCTTCCGATGATACGAATTAAGCGCTCAATTGCTCCTATGCCATCTGTCCACTTGAAACGACAATTCCTTTATTAATAATTATAATCGATTATTACGAATTACATTATCTTACTAATTCGCGTGTATGGCATATAAGATATTATTTACTAGTCTAAGCACCGCATAAATACACGGTAGATATACAGATAAAGTTAGGTACAATCGTAAATGTGCATATATAAATTCACTTTGTTCCTTGCTGCACTTTACTTCAAATGTACTACGCAGATTAATTTCTTGACAGTAGTTTTATACGATGTAATTATGCACATACGCGTATTGCATTCTCGTAAAACATAATGTTATTCAGAGATTATGCGCGTTAATGCCGTGGTTGGCATGCGATCAACACATTTATCGAAATATTGCAGATACTATTTGGCGGTGTTTTTCATTCTGACAACATGGTAAAATTTACCGGTGACTTATACAGTTCCATTGACATTAACATGGATGAAAATATTATAGAAACAATGAATGTTTTGCTTTTGAAATGCTTGACTTTTTCTACTTATTTTCTGAGGATGAATTATTTGAAACAAACAAAATAAGATGATGATACAGTACGACAATCGGTATATAATTTCGACAAAGTAAACGTTTTCCGACAGAATGAAAGTGTTGGCTTTAATTTGTATAACTATAGACCGTATACTGTATATTGTGATAGTTTTGCATTATAAAATGATTTGGGTGAGTGCGTTCCCTGTAGTCATTGTCGGCATAATCCTTATCTTTTGACCAATGCATTTCAATAGTTAATTATTGTCACTTTCATTCAGTATACTGGATGGTAACACTAAAGTGTAGACAATCAGGCTGTACAGTATTAATTCTTGAAAATAAAAAAATTTTTAATTACTATATAGAACTGCAGTTATCCGTATGTATACGCGTACAATTCTGCTGTCAGAAGGCATTTTCAATAACTGAAAAATTAGCGTTGTATTCTTTTATCTAGCAAAGTTAAGAATGAAAATTGTCTATAGTACTCACTAACGAGTAGAACGATGCAACATTTTCTCAATAAATGGCTGCTTCTGTATGGCCTGTAAATATCGGTCCTGTTATATATACTTTTCGTTCACATTGTGATATCCGAATATGTATATATATATATTGTACAATGTACATATACTGTAGGCGACTGTTGTTTTAAATTTCTTGAAAGCCTGAACGCGCAAAGAAATTACTCTTACAGGATTCGGAATTAACTGTTAAATCCATCAAATCGTCTAAACTTTTTATTTTTTGTATATCGGAAAGAGCTCAGTCCACTCTTTTGTAACATGATAACACAGAATATAGCAATACTTTTACATATGCGCATAGAAAGGAATGTTGAGGCCAAACACTGGAATTACATTTATATTGTACCTTAGCGCATATAATACTACTGTAGATCGAAAATAGTTGGTCGTTGCTTCTACAGGCATCGATTTTGAAATTTCTCTTTTAGAAACCATGCGCTACATAGTTACCGTATACGCGTATGGGTACCCAAGAGAGAAAGAAAAGAAAGGAAATGCAGTACACACTCTATACATACAGTAGTATATAGATAGTGAAATAATAACATGTAGCTGTCGCTTGTGTACACGGAGTAGGAACTCTCAGGTGTACAGTATAGTAACGTATATATAACACAGGAAGGTAGTCTGAATATGATAACAGTTATAATGGACATGTACAACATATACACATTACATAGCTAGTTATTGACTAGCAACATCATGTCACGGGCAATGTATATTGTAATAATATTTATGCTACGTAGCCTACGCGCATAGTACAGTAGTAACCGCACTATACAAAAATACACATACATGTAGTACAACAAAAGTCGATTCATACAAATTGACACATTAGGTGTACACTCGTTCAAATGTGTTACCCAAAATGAAGAGATATGAAATTTTCTTGCTCCAAATCTAATCTGAAAATTCACTATAATAATAATCTAAAAGAGATTTTGACTATGTACGTCTCGTACTCATGCTATCCACATGAAGCGTATACACGCTGTATAACAGGATGTAGTTTGTAAATAAGTTCAATCAAAATAACGACGGCTTGCGGTGCAGTTCGTATCTATTAGGCTATCGTTATAACTGTCCTACCCTTTTTATTCCATATTAATCATGCGTCATATACTAGAGTTCAAGCAGCGACGCTATTAGGATTAAATTAATTCAGATTTGCTACAATATACTATGATACAAATACTATATGAATTGATTAATTTAATTAACGTCCAGACGGCGATTTAATCAATTAATTAGGGCAACACAGTTCCTGTATCTGAGTCTTGAATTAAGAGTCAATATCGTACTGTATTATTTACTACTATATACGTCTATTATGCAATTGATATATACGTTTACAGTAAAATTTGCGGTAATTTTGATAATGGCGAAGATACTAAATGATTGCAACTATCTTAGGCCGTGTAAGGGAACGTAAACCTGTTTTCGTACTCTTTTGTATGTTATTTTATACCACTGATAGTTCCATTAGCTTGTCTAATTAGTCTTTTCGTCAGGAATAGTGTAGCCATAACAATACTTTAGCAATAAAAACAGGCATACCATTCATGCTATCATATACGTCTACCGATAAATATTTCCACTAAATGTGATATTTTGACTGAAAAGGTTAAAAATATTAAACATTATTCACTATGACTAAGAAGAGAGCCTGCCTTTAAGCCATTATATTATACGGTACAATTTGTACTTCGACAAATCTTCTACTAGTCGATATTTCTATACATAGTAATATAAGTTCCATGCTTTGATACAGGAAATATGTACATTAGGTTGCTTGAATTCTCCAACATATTCGAATCATCAGTCCATTAGTTAACAACCTATCATTAAACATTTTTACCCCAGTTTAAGAATGATCTTACACTGTACATTTTAATCTTTTTGCATTCCTCCAATAAAATTGGAAATTTATATGATAATTTTAATCTTATGATTGTTAAGATCTTGTTTATTTCTTTAGTATCGATGATAATTATATTATCTTTTCTCAATTTCTGATCAATAGTTTGCGGCGATATTCATGGTCAATTCTATGACCTAATGAAGTTATTCGAGGTTGGTGGTTCACCGGGTACTACCAAATATCTATTTCTTGGCGATTATGTCGATAGAGGTTACTTTTCTATTGAGGTATGGCCTGTTATGTTAAGTGAATAAAAAAGCTAATATTATACTTACTATGCGTAGAAGACATATGCACATTACACCTAGTAGTAAATAGTTAATTACGTCTTTAAATTGTATTAATAACCTAGTGCAAACAGCTCACATTTCTAAATACGCGTATGTAAGTACAGTATGATTTTTCGATCTTGTTAAGATGATATGTGTAGTAGTTCCTGACGTATATCCATCTGCTTTAATCGCATACCGAAGTACTAATTAATGTTGCCTAACTAACATTATCCTGCGTTAATATATTCTTGATATATTGTAAAATCGACTAGTACAGATAACTTTTATTGATCTAAGATGGTGAGCCATTAAATCTCAATAAGAAAGCATAAATAATTTAAATCCGTATTTTATGTTATAGTGTGTAGTATATCTTTGGGCTTTGAAAACCTTGTATCCGAAAATGATGTTCATGCTTCGTGGCAACCATGAATGTCGGCACTTGACTGAGTATTTCACCTTCAAGCAAGAATGTGAGTTCTTCTGACACTATTTCTCTATCATAAATATAAAGAGATATAAACCGCGTCATCTAACTATATTAATTAATTATCTAACAGGTAAAATAAAATACTCTGAAAATGTTTATGAAGCGTGCATGGACGCATTTGACTGTCTACCACTTGCAGCCTTAATGAATCAACAGTTCTTATGTGTACATGGTGGTCTATCTCCTGAAATCCATAACTTAGAAGATATAAAAAAGGTTGGTTGGAAAGTACAAATGACAGAGAATGATTCTTTAAATTTATTTTCTTATTTTCTAACATACTAAAAGTCGATTATTGTTATATTATGTTGGAAATAGTTGGATCGCTTTAGAGAACCTCCTGCTTTTGGTCCAATGTGTGATTTGCTATGGTCCGATCCCCTGGAAGAATACGGCAACGAAAAAACAACCGAGCATTTCAGCCACAATAGCGTTAGAGGCTGCTCTTACTTTTTCAGGTAGACTATGCAATACGTATATATATACAATAAATCTAATGTAGCGAAATGTTTCAGGCATTCATGACTGAGCTATTTTATTATTTTAGTTATCATGCAATTTGCGAATTCTTACAACAAAATAATCTGCTGTCTATTATTCGCGCTCATGAAGCTCAAGACGCTGGGTAAGCAATATATAACATGTATATAAATCATTAATTTCATATCGATGGTACAGTAATAATGACTAAAAGCAAAATAGGCAAGATAAACTGTTAACTGTTCGTTATCCTACTTTCCAGTTATCGAATGTACAGGAAAAGCTTGACAACCGGTTTTCCCTCCCTTATTACTATATTTTCTGCTCCAAATTATTTGGATGTTTATAATAACAAAGGTTTGGGCTACTATTATTTAGCGAATTAAATTTTATAGTACTCATATCATACTTTTCAATTTAAAATTAATTTTTTCTTTGTTTTTAGCTGCTGTTCTAAAATACGAAAATAATGTCATGAACATTCGTCAGTTTAATTGTTCTCCTCATCCTTACTGGTTACCAAATTTTATGGATGTTTTTACATGGTCACTACCATTTGTCGGAGAAAAGGGTACCTGAAGACGTTTAATCATAGTTTCTATCTACATTTATAGCGTATCCTAAGAAATAAATCACTAAAGTAATTTTATTAATTGCAGTTACTGAAATGTTGGTAAATGTTTTGAATATCTGCACTGAGGACGAACTCGCAAACGATGAAGAGGCAGCAGCGGCGGCGGCGGCTGGTAATGATGGTAGGTTGATTTTTTATCCTCAAATATGCTGTTACCGTTATCAATACTTAAAAATTTATTCCTGTTAAGTTGCTAATTTAATCTTATCATTTTGAATAGCTAATCTAAATGTGCAGCAAAGACGTGAAGTTATCAAGAATAAGATTAGAGCAATTGGAAAGATGGCTCGTGTGTTTACTGTGTTACGGTAAAATAATATTACTTTTACAGTAGCATGTTCATAAATCATCATGACAACGTTCGAGAAGATAGGACGATGTTAAACTTTTTTTTCTCTAACTTCTATAACAGGGAAGAAAGTGAAACCGTGTTACAACTCAAAGGCCTTACACCTTCTGGAACGTTACCTGCTGGCACTTTATCTGGAGGCAAAAGTTCCCTTCTTGACGGTGAGAGTCGATAAAGTATTCTGAACTAAATTCACTGCTATTTTGTAAATTGCTAATGTTGCATACTGTATAGGTTGCATTATTGGTCGTTGTTGTTCATTTGAATGTATTACTGAACTGACTATTTTTTAATATAGCTATCAGTGGTCATGATCCACATCATGCTATTAGTAGTTTTAGTGAAGCTAAAGATCTCGATCGATTTAATGAAAGAATGCCACCTAGAAAAGATCGCGTGGAACCATCTAATACTGGTGCTGAAGCTTAGATGTTTTTTCGACTGAAGCTTGAAATTTTACAAAGCTTTATGTATTCATAATAACATTGTAAGTCAGTCTGTAAAAGATTACTATTAGCTTGTAATGAAAATGGGTGCCGAAGTAGTGTCTCATTTGAGATTGCTAATATGATCGAAAATGTAACAAATGAATATGTAGTTGTTTGGTTGAGTTGCTCTCTCATATTTGCAACCTACTGCAAATGAAGTGCAGGCTATGCCTTAAATGTAATCGACTAAACAAAATAACAATTGGCATCTAATCATAATGTAGTAAAGATACTGTGTCTCTTGTCGATGAAATCGTATATTACTTATGTTGTGTTACATTACTGGGATTTCGGAAAGGCATACACCAATTTTCGGGTATATCGAAAGTGTCGACTGTGTTATTTTAGTTACCATAATTGAAATGGCTTGATAGGTTATGATATAAATGACGATTATCTTGCGTAATACTAACAACAATTTGATATTTGCCGTTAGACGCTATGCCAATTTGGCTTTAGATACTTACAGTATTAGAAATTATGATATATACGTATTGTGGTAAATGGATATCGATACCGAATTGCGCCGTTAAATATCTGCTGTTGTGCTATGAATGTTAGCCACCTCTATAAACTTCTTCGCTACAATACTGTAATCGACACAATTGTAACTGCTACCTTTAGATTTGTAATACATTTGTACAGCTTGTAGTTTACAAGTTATTTTAGCCGCGAATTTAAATCTTGGAAGTACACAAGAATTATTTCCTTTTTGCGAAAGAAAAATTTTTGTTAATAAACTTCCTGTGTTGTTATTGTAAAGATGGCTAACTTTCATCAAGACTTTTTGCAGCTTTCTGCTTTTGTTACGAATGTTTGCCGCATGCATCACATGTCCGTATACGACCGTACTGTGTATGTTGATATGAGTGCAATTCATGTACTGACTTAAATGACGTGATATCAAGTATTCTAAGTTAACACAATAAAACTTCAAATAAATGGATTGATTCACTACCTGTACTATAGACTAGTCTTATCAGTATGATAACCTTGCATCACCTGACGGCATCGCGCTTATATGCAGTAACTTGTGCAGGTGCACGTATATCCGCCAATGATGATATGAGCCGATGCAATGTAGCGTACATTGCAACTGCGCTATAATTTTTTGTACTGCTAATTAAGATATTCATCGATAACTATATTTTGATGCTAATTAAAGAAAGGCTAGTAAGAAACTTGATTAGTAAAGAGTAAATCCATAATTCCGATTTATCGTTTGCTAGCAGGTGGATCAATATATCAACGACGACACATTAAAGGAAATGATAAATATGATACAGTTAGTAGTTATCTCATTGACGATTTTGATGCATTTATAATAATCTCGTAGTAAGGGGTACCAGAGTTAGCAGAATACCATTTGGATCTGACATCTCACTAACGAATTTTCTGCCAAATACTGGATTTTAATCGCATTTTTCGATCGCAGTTACGACTTTATTTCCGGACAATGTGGCACACTGCAGTACTTTTCAAAATTTTGTGCCAGGTAAAAGTAAAATACTTATACAATGGCCTCAAAACCAGAAACTAAATTTAATTCGTATCTATACTATTTAAAGCAAAAATAGAATAGAAGAAGAACAAGGTTTTCTTACGGCGCTCTCGGACAACACTGGTAAATGTTAATCGCAAAACACATATTACTACATTTCATAATGTATCAATTTTGACGTTGATCAAAACAATAGTAGAAAATCATGACGTTGAAGCTCTAACCTTCTGATAACATGGTCGAATAAGTATATAACAGATGTTATAGATACAAATACCATTATCCTGAATTTCTTTAGCATTACGATTTAGTGGTGTAGCTGGAGACAACCGTTACGTCACTAATACAGTATGTTAAATTATGTATTAGATGAAAATGGTTCTCGTTTCCAAATATTTACAGATTACTTATTACGAGAGAAAAATCTGTACAAAATTTTACATCAAGGGATAAAGTATTTCCTAATAGGGTAAGAGATTTATCAAGGAGTCATCATCTACTCCTGCTATTATCTTCGAGGTATCAAATAAAGTGCCCATTTCACGATATACATTACAAAGTAGTTCTTTGCGTTATCAATTAATTATCTAAGAAAAAGTTTGTATTTGTTAATAGTACTGTTATCTTGGTAATGTGTAACATACACACGTCGATTAAATAAAATTATTTAGATTTTTGCGGTGTTTTAAGAGGTTGAGAATACTTCTGTGAGGACCATCGTAAGTATCTAGTATCAAGAGTTATTTGAGGTTTTCGGTACTCCGGGCTTGATAGCAATTCCTCAATCTGCTTCGGAGTTACACAGATTACATGTTGCCCTTTCCAATATTTAGTCATATTTAGCGATTGTAGGGTACCAATAATATCTTCTTCAGTAATGCATGTCATTTGACTACAAGTGAAGAAATATTAAGAATTAGCCACTAAATAAGTGTAACATTGTATAACTTTCGGTATTAAAGGCAAACAAGTACAAACTGAGCTATGAACACTAATAAATCAAGAGGTATTTTACGTACCACAAGTCTCGAACGGTCAGCGTTCCTCTAAAATCTTTTAATGCCTCTAGCAATACCCATGACCAATAACTTCGGTACGTCAGCTTTCCTAAATCGGATAGAGGTTTCTCCGGCGAGCCAATCTTTCGTTCCATTTTAGCGAGCTCATAACCTAAGCGTAAAGCATATTAATAATATCACTTGCGGAATAATTCTCAAACAGTACTCATGTACTGTACTACACGATACATGACCCTCAGAAAAGTGTTATTTATTTGTATTGTATATCAGATATTTCTGCAATCATCTTTAAGCGATCAACACAGAAGCATTTGTAAAATTTTTTTATGAAATATCATTAAAAGTAATGTGTATTGTATCATAAAGTGGTACACACTTAGAGCTATTAAAAATTTTCCATAGCCTTTACGTTGATGTGGCGGTAAGATTAATAGGCACGCTAAATTGTTACCATCAGCAGACTCCTTCTCCTAGTTAAAAAATTGTCGTCAATTAACTAACAATAAAAGGATCATTATATTAGAATTATACCTAATTTAAAAGTGTCATTATAGACACGAAATGATTAATTTTACCTTAGAAAAATATCCTACAAGGTGGCACCCATCTTCGTCTACCTCAGTTAGCTGGTAAAACAAGAAAGGTTCCACATCGAAATATAAAGTTTTATGATCAAGGAACAACTTCGCTAGTAAACACATGTTTTGACAGTAAAGTTTGTGATTCTTTCCATCAACTTCAAAAACAGATAAGGAGCATTTGCGATAAATCTCTCCACCAGGTGGTTGCTTGTGATTACATATTGTCTGCAAGATTAGGAAACATCGAAAACAGTTATCACTTTAGCTTACAAAGATGTAAATCACTAGTAACATAGTATCGTAGCCATACCAAATGATGTTTGAATGTGCTTTCATATTTCATGTACTTCAAGCAATATTCACAGATCCAAATTTTTGACTGTTTACCATATTCATCCGGAAAGGGAGAATAATACCAAGCATCAATTTCGTACTTTCCAATTTGAACTTTGTCAATGTACTTGACCTTGGTAATCTGAAAAAATTCGTGTAACAAAATTAGGGCTTACATTAGATCGATATCAAATAATTATCAGTCAATTATAATAATCATGTGTTAAAGCATTCCAGTGAAAAGGTGAAAATGAAATAATTTACTAAACTTCTTCAATAGTAATGTATAATATTCTTTTACAGTAATCATGTACTTATGTGCACAAAGAGCATTCTAAATTTACCGCTTCATGTTCCTTCTCTAAAGCGGCCGTTGTTGGGTCCATCTCAGCGTAAGTCTATTTAGCGTTAAAAATGATAAGGAGATGACGAAAGTAATCATTGTTTATAAAATTTAAGTTATGCCTGTCTGCATTAATGAAAAATTTTCTATTACAGTAAAGTAATGTACCTTTTGTATGTGATTAATTTCATCATGTTTACGCTTTTGATTACGGGTAACTTTGCGCTCCTGATTTTCAGCTAGTGACCAAATATCTGGTCTGATGCTGGCTTCATTGGTTTCTTTTACGCTCGCAGGCTTAAGGCGATCTATTCCTAGCCACTCATCCAAACGCCGATCATCTACAACATAACAAAAGTATACTGTTAGAAGCTGACACATCAATCACTTTATTACGTCACTGCGGATTTTCGTAAATATAATTATACACAATTATTACTATAATACAGATCACTTACAGCCAACGTAGTGTACGTAATAGCGTGAGCCAGTATCATCTGTTAATGAGGGTCGGATATGTATGATTTCTGCTAGTTCTATAAGATGATAAATGAAGATCATGTATTAGCATAACACGCACAGTGATAAGTTACTAGCTAATTTCTGCTAGTAAAATCAAATAATCTAGTCATTAAGACGTAGTTAATGGTGAATATTTTTTGCTGTTCAAAGTACACGCATACGAATACAATGAAAATACGATTATTGATGTTTAGGTGAAGGAAGCAGAAAGTTGCAGTGACAACGCGTAATTTTAACAGACTATTCATTACTTCATACACACAACATTGTGGCGGAAGCTATTGTGTAATAATTGATATCATACTACAGTGTCATGAAATTTAAGCACTGGTTATGAATTAGCCTTAACTTAAATCTAAAATCCCAGACACTGTACAGTATTTTAGTATTCCATAGTTTACTATTATCACTGATTTCCTAACAGCTTGGCGATACCGTATCTAGATATTTTCTGAGCTTGATACAGAAATATCGCGCAATTGTGTAGTAGTACTGTATGACTAGTCAATTCGATAGTTCATCTACTTGCGTGGATAGTGTATCGCACGATAAATTACATAGCATCTGCATAACTGACTCAATTTATGGAAACTATATAATGGACGACAGAATGCATAAATCCTTGAAAAACTCTGATATATCTAGCAACAGTATTGTGTTTCACCATACTCTACATGAGAGTAAACTACTGCTAATCTTAAACTCTAGTTCGTATAACAATGATTTAGTAGATTTTTCAAAGCAGAAGCGAAAACATCTTCAAGTAAGATGGTCGAAATTACAATTGTAAATAAAATTCATTTCATTTTGTGGTACTGTATGACTTATCATGGATTACCTTAACTAGAATTACAAAAGGGACTGGACTCAATGAATTACGAATATCAAAATCTGAGTTGACTAGTACTGTTATGACATCTTTAGCGAAATATACCGTATTAACCATAACATGAAAGATTACGAATCTAAACGCTATCTTTTTTGACAGTATACTATTTTGCTTTGAGCCTAAGTTGGGTGTATAATCAGGGACTACAAAAAGAGAAGTAGTCGTTGGTAAAAAATTAATCCAAAGCTTCAAGTAAATAATTATTATGTAGTAGTTATAAACCCTTATGGCCAAAATCGTATGATTTAATGTAATTATATACTTCTACAATTTGTAGTAAGTTCCGTTGTACAAATCTATAATTTCATACATTGCTGCATTAACTACAAGTACAGTATATGTACTACAATATTCCAGAACTTGACAAGTCAACAGAGCCTTTGCGAGAATCTCTTACTTTCATTGAGATGGTTTACTACTGTATATCTTCGTCTGAATGCTTGTTTCTTGACTGAACGATCAGACATGATGGCAATTGCAGTACGATGTGTACTGAAAGTACCATTAGCATTTGTTGACACGAGAATTTCAATAGAATTTACTAGTTTGGGTAATGTAGGTTCGAGGAAATTAATAGGGTCAATACTTTTTGTAATGGCCATAAATTAGCAGTCCTATTTGAGATGATAGCCGTAATATCACTCTGCCAGTAAGTAAAATGTGATGCAATATAACAATTATGCGAAAATGGACGT